CCATATGAATCAAGTCTACATAATATATATATAATAGTATCAGTATATTTCTTATTTTGTAATTAATGGATAAAGAATTACTTACTATCTTGCAATGTAAGCATAAAAAACAAAGAAAACCAAAAACTCAACAACACTAAAACTAAACCTCGAATAAAATAATGTGACGCCAAATCTTTAAGGGACCACCCGATGATTATTCGTGATTGTGAAAATAAAACAATTCCAATACCCATTACAAAGGCGAACCCTAAAGGTGCTAAATGTGTTGGTATGCTTATTAACGTGTTGAAAGCTTTCGTATATGCTGTTTGTGAGTACCATATTTCCATTCCTAAGGTTTCAAGTGTATACGATTAAATAGGATTATATAAAATTCGAAATTAAGATAGTTATACTAAGAACTTACGAGCTTGACTTTCATTATTTGTTAAAAAGATTCTGGCATCTAATAAATTTATAATAATATTTATTGATTTGAAACATCCATGTATGCATATATGTAATTAAAAGCCATCGTTTAAAATATTTACGCTCAATAGATTGAAAAAGCATCATCAATCCACGGAATACATCCAATGCAACGATTCGTGGTGGCTTTGTTCCGAAAACATTACGAGTTCTTAGAGTTCCAACTGATGATATATATGATATATCAAAAGCATCTTCTTCTATTTGTCGTTGTGTCTCAGCCTATTCGCATGAATAAAATAAACGTTATTATGTCAAACTTTATTATATCTAGTAATATTTCATTTCATTCACCTCATTACGTAGAAGACTAGTTCTTTCATTAGGCAGTGTTAGTGAGTCCTCCATGTATTATTACGTACGTACGTACGTATTTGAAATTTGAAGATAAAGACAAGGGGGTAGAAATTAATGCTTAACGTTAAATTACCACTAGAATCAGAATATCATATCCAAAATAGGTTAATGATGCTTTAACACATGGAAGCAAGTAACATCAGGTGTCGATATGCAGATTAGTGAAAATCAGCAGATCACGTAATATAATTAACTGTTAAGATCTCACAGTACGTACGTACGTACGTACGTAACTAAAACTAGTGTCACAGAACATAATAAATCTTTTTTGGGAAAATAAATTATCAAGAGGAGTATATCATTCCAAAATATAAAAGGTAGTGTCTTATATGCGTGGGCACAAAACGACTTGCTCTTAAATATGTCAAAAGATTGTTTTATGACAGAAGTGGAGTGTACGTCGTGATGGCCATCTATATTTCTAATAGCTACGTACGTACGTATGTACATTAATAATCTCATCAGTGTGTATCACTTCAAATATAAAAGGTAAGTTAATATCCGGAAAAATAAGAACTTTATTGAAAAATATTGCAGTAATTTCGACAAATAGTATCATGGGTTTCTTACATTCCTAGGCCTTAAAATTGATCATTATCCTTCTGGGACCGGAAATTTATTATGGTGCAAATCATCTTAAGACATCCAAATTGCAACTCCAACGAATATTCGTAATTTCGTAAAAAAAAGCATTGCTTTATATGGTTCTGATAAGACCTATCTATAAAGAATGGTTTTTTTTTTGTTTTTTTTTTTCAAGGAGATTCAATCTTCGGAATTAATAATTAGCAAAATACTATTTGACCCTATATGCAGTGTTGTCATGTC